CACTTAAACAACTTCCATGGTGTACTACATTAATACATTTCACCTCTTTTTGCGATGGACTAAGAGCATACACACACAGTCATTCACTGCAAATTAATTGGTGACTGATAATTTATGGTGCTCATTTGCTGGCAACTCTGTCGTTTTCCTAAGTATTAAAGAATGGGTACCTTGAAAGATTTATTGTACTAAATAAAAGCACCCTTTAGAATAGTTGCTTTTACTTGCTCACACAGAGCAAAACAGAAATTTAAAATTATCATAAATTTGTTAGCGTAAATTTTAAAGCCTGATTCTGCAAACACTTACACGTGCGGTTAACTCAGGTTAACACTCATGCACAAGGTCAGCCCACCAATAATCCCACCGACAGATCTCCCTGGCCATCCCAGAAGTCCACCAGTCTAAACCACCTGGAATTTTTTGTTCTTGGTTTTTTTTTTTCCCCCTGATTCAAGTGTTCACACCATGCTAATGAAACAAAATGCTTTAGCATTCCTTAAAATTTTGTTTCATTAGCACGGTTCCTCCGCTGTGGTCTGTCAAAAACACTCTATGATCTCCCGGAAAAGAAAAACAGTGTGCTGCTTAATTTCTTAACAGCCACTCAGATGAGGAAAGTCAAACACAGAGAAAACTGTTTACAAGATCTAAGCCCGAGTTAGTGCTAGTAAGTTAACTATTGTATCAAAAGTAACAGACACCAAATAATTTTGAAATTACATTTTTTAAGTAAGTATGAAGTACTAAAATATATTAGGAATCTAATTAATGTATTAGCTTACTAGCTATATAGAAGCTGGATTTATAAAAAGGAACATTGCCTGTGAAATTGGATTCCTCAAAAATAAACCCTTTTTTCATTAAAACAGACAATCCAACTTACAAAGGTATGCAATACCAACCCGCATGGATCAAGTTGCATTTTACTTGCCATACTAGAAAGATTTCTAGAAATCATCAATAAGCCACTTGAAATTATTTAACTGGAGACATAAAGTACTTCTCGATTTACTTTCTTAGCTTACCACAACAGTGGCCAGTGAAGGAGCTCCACGGCTGCTGATCTGAGATCAGAGCGGACACCACCACGAGCAACTTTACATGAAGTAACTCGCCCAGTTTTCGGAAAGCTTCTCTCCATACCGCACTTCAACCAAGAGCACTTACACAACTCTGACGTATTGAGCATCCTCTACCTTTCTCCATGCTCAAATACCTTAGGTGAACAGCTCTCACTTAATTCATCAGACACCTTTCACAGGATTTTATCATGGCTTTACTTGGATCACAGCCAAACACAGACTTCTTTGCGCCTTTCCCTTCAGTCCTGGCCTTGATTTGGCTTTGGTGTTTTGGAAAACATAACCTCACAGCCACCTCGCAGCCACAAGCGTCCTTGTTACCTTCTCTTCCCGTCCTGACTCCGGACTCACGTATCAACCTGCTCCTCACCCTGCCTGAGCTCGCAGAAGCCTACCCGGCTTGAGACTGCACTGGGAGCTTGGACATGAAGTTTATGCGAGCTATACATTGCAGAAATGAAAATACAAAAACGCTGCAGACAATACATTTATCTCTATGCATGAATCTTTAATTTTTCCAGAAAATTACCAACGCAGTCACTGAAAGAGCTATAGCTGGGTCCCTAGGACATGAGCAAAGGACCCCATTTGTGAAAGTCCCTGCAGCATCTCCACCCAGCCTGGTAAATGGAGTTCCGTCGTACAAGTCTTCTCTTCCTTCGCCAAAAACATTGTGAGAAAAAACATTCACCTCAAAAATGAGCGCCTCAAACCCGTTCTGGCCTTTCATTCCAATTCCTTCTAAATGAAGCTTTATTTCTTCTGAAGTTCATCACAAATACGTTTTTTAACAGATAGCACTTTATGGGAACTGAGAAGAAATATTTTTTATGTAAAAAACAGCTCAATTTAAAGATAAAAAGAGTAAGCCAAAGAAGTAAAACGTAAGTGTTAACAAAGATAAGCTGATTTTTTTACTTCTATTGAAGAAGTGCCTAAGATCTTCAAACGTAAGGGCCGCACAGTATTAGATAATGCACAATGGACAAATATCACAAAAATTATTCTCACTGCAGATAAGACAGAATTTAGTATGCAGAGAAAATAAGCAGTAGGTGAATAAACAGATGAAGGGGCAGAGTACGTAAAGGTTAAAAGCAGCGAAGACAGGTGCATTGAACACAAGCACAAATGTGAGGATTAAACTAAAAAAAAGGGTTGGGTTTATTAAAAGTTAATGTCTGCCATCTCCACAGATGATTACACAGAAAATAACAATTTGACTAATTAGTTAGTATTTGTACAGTACTTTGAATATATAAAGTGATATATAAGTTAATATCATTTCAATTAGACTGGAAATGAGATAGAATTATCAGTGCATTTATTAATATTTAATACATTCACTTTCAACAACAGCAACAAGTTTTACATTTTAATTGTGTGCTTCAAAACATAAAGCTAGAAGACCCTGTGAAGTAACTACAAAGTTTTCTTATCAAGATCCTACCAAAAACCCACACATATTAGAAATAAACACACACTGGTTTTTAACCAAACTGATGGTTAAATTAAGAATTCTTGATTTGCAGACGACTGACAGGATCCATGGGCCATGCTTTGTCGCTTGTTCCTTCCAAAACACGTTCCCTTTACAATCAGATCATTCATTTTTATGACCTGAAGGTACATCACGTTTTTGTGAACCTCCTCCTAGGAGCTACTCCTCCTGTACACAGCAGGCAGTGAAAGAGGCGATAGACTACAGGCATGTAGGGCTTGGTGCTCTCCAGCTGATGGACAACAGGGTGATCTAATCGCCTTTTGCACCGTCGCATCAGCTGCATTGCACAGCATCAGAAATAGTGCCCTTCTTAGGGAGGGGCTGCCACCCCTTGCTGAGGGTCTTTCTGAAACAGGAAGCCACGCAGGGCTTTCTTAAAAAGCATCACTCCCGCATCCTCAGCCAAGCCTCTGATCGACACAGCCCTGTCCCCCCCACACTGCTGGGCAGCCTCCGCAGGGCAGGGGGAGAAGGCACCTTGTGTCGGTGTCGCCCCTTCCCTTGCAGATTTCTGCCATGGAAATCCATCGCCACCAAAAGCAAATCCAGCTTCCAATAGTCTGTGCTTCCCCAGGAGCCCTGTAGCCAACTGGGACCACACAGCAGAATTTGCAGGTTGGTCGTTTCAGCATTATCTGGACTCCCGTTTGGTTTCACTTCAAGAGCTGTCAGGCCAAAGCCATCAGCAGCGAGTGTAGCATCCAACGCCATCCACTAGTGAGCGTTCACCCAACTAGGCGCGACACTTTCACAATGCACAAAGCAGCAGTAGCTCTTTACAAACTAGAGTAACTATAGCAATAATTAAAAGGAAATAAAACTGTACATCAAACTGAGAAGCAAAAAAATTTTTAAGAACGTGAAACAAGTGCTTATTAATTTAGACAACTTCTACCTGATGGCATTTTGAGAGGAATTCGTGTAAAAAGAGGAAAAAAACTGGAGTGCAGAAAGAGTTATTCAAAGGTATTTTTTTTATTTGCCTTCGTTAAATACTATATAACGTGCTCTTATTTGAAAAACATCAATCAAATTTATAGATTCGTGATAAATACAGTTGTAATTATAGCTGCCTGAAAATAATTCAGCTGTCACGTTTACCCTGTCAAAGTAAATAACGCTGTCATTTTAGTTGATGTGTGTGACTTGAGTAAACATTTCAAAGCATGAATTTTGAAGTAAGATTTCTTCACTTGAAACAATTGCTCAAATTAATTTTCCTTCCAACTCTAATTTATTATGCTTATTTTCTTAGTAAGAACGAACTCTTTAACTACTTAACCAAGGCATCTTGAAGTAGATTGTGGGTGCATAAATCATTAATCATACAAAAAGCACATTAAACCACATGACCTGTCGACCAGAGAGAAAAAAAGTGGCATTTGTACTGCTCCATCCTTATTGTTGTAGCACCTTCAAACACTCCAAATTTATCCCTATACCACCCATGCATGGTAGGGACATAGTGTCATTCCTGTTCCTGAAGTGTCATTCCTGGGCAAAAACATTTTTCACAATTAAGAAGTGAATATTATTAACAAGTATTAGACTTGGCTGGATGTGCTTAAGCTGGTCTCAGCGAGGTGGAGAGAAAGAGAGACACCAGGGGAGCTTTCTAAAGACAAACTTTGGTAGAACAAACTTCAGAATTTATTGGTGGTACAAAAATTTCCAACTGGGGACAACAGAAAGCATGGTATTTCACCATTAGGTCATTTTTTACTGAACCTACAGGGAAAGAAAATGTTACAACTTTTCAAAACTAAAATGAGGGAAACTGGGTGACTGCTTACTTCATCAAAATATGGTAAATGCTACCACATCTTTAAAAAATAAAAAACATGCCAAAGGTACTAGGGAAATTCCCACTTTCAGGCTCACATTCTGCTGATAATTTCACTTCTGACCCCTTCAGTGAACTTATCATTAGACTTACTGCACTGTCTTCTATTTATTAGCAGTGCAATGCTATCAAAAATGAACATTTCAGCAAAATATTTTGAAAAATTCTGTTCAGTAACAGCTAAAGGACATGACTTTTCAGAACTGTATTTTGGATTAATGAAAAAAAAAAAAATCCCACAGTACATCCTCAGCTTTGAGAATCAATCATTTCTTCTGAGGACGTGACAACACTCTTAACATTTCTGACCCAACATTTTTTTGCCTTCAACTCTTCACCTGTTATATGGGCACAGTGCTCCTTACCATCTTTGCTAAGCATTTGAGGCCTTACATAAGAGGCAGATGTTAGTACTTAAAAATGACCAGCTGAAACATGTTGTACTCATTTTATTCTTGGCACTTCTGGAAAGGAAAAGAACCTGGTTTTCTCTGATATACATTCATTTTGGACTACACCACTTTTCAGTACTGTAAACGAAAGATAAAAGCAATAAAACTGCACTGACCTTTTCCTTAATGTAGACTCACAAACCTTGACCACCCTGATGACCTCTTTAACAGTACGTCGGAAATCATGCATTCTTGCTGCCACTAGCAGAGCTAGAGAATAAGCAGGGAAAGTCAATGTCAAAAAGAGGAAAATTTCCTGAAGAAAAGCAGAAAACAGTCAGATAACTGCAAGACCCTCTATATAGCTAAATAACTAGTACTGGCTGCATTTACATTAATGTGTTGATTCAGAGCACTAGCTCTGTTTTGAAGCATCACCCCCACTCATTGTGCAGTGGCTCAGTGCGCAGAACAGTTTTAAGCATGCAAAAGTGATTCCTTTCAGAGGAAACTAAACCAGAACTCCACTTCAGGTATGTGTTTAAAGTGCTCCAGTTCCTAATGGGAACATCAGGGGCTGAACTAACAACTGGTCCTTCAAACAACGTATGGCACAGACATTTTGGCCAGGGAACCAAACTAAACCCGGCCCATAGCACACCACATACGTATGGCACAGACATTTTGGCCAGGGAAGCAAACTAACCACACGAACTGCATATTGCGTGGATGGATGTAGGGGACTCAGCACCACCCGCTTCAATCTATTGATCCATGTCTGTTGAATCAAATCACTTGCTCGTGTGGATATAGTCTATGCAGTGAATCAAAGACCAGACTGGTCTCCCATAGAGCCTACACTCAGTTTTTTAGCAATGTGCAATAAGCAAGTACTATTAACAAAAAGGAGCTAGAAATTTCAAGGAGAAGATTGCATAGTCCTGGGTTCCCTGAGGTTTGAGCGCTATTTGTCATTCCAGCATGCACATGTAAGATCTTTCAAATAAAATAAAGCGCATACGTGAACTCTGTGACTATCTACACTCTTCGTTACTCTGACCTCACTGGCTGGTACTGGCTACCTTTTAATCTAGCCCTCCCAAACTGGTAGGTTTTTTGTAAGCATCATGACAGCGATGGATCTTGGAAAAAGATGAAGAAGGAGAGGAAAACAATTTCACAGAACAGGTCAAAGAGGGCACTTCTTGCATAAGACTCTATGTAAAGACACAAATCAAAGTGCTTGCACTAATGGTGTCATTTTAACTGACAAAAAAACCTTTTAGCAGCTAGAGCTTGCAGACAGTGGGGGTGAGAAGAGCACCAGAAAGGAGGTTAAAAAATCCAAAACGTAAGATAGAAAGGATCTGAGCAAGCAAGGTAGGAGCAAGGGCAAAAATGAAGTTTGACTTTCAGAAACTATTTTGATGAAGACCTATATAATCTGTAGGTGCCCGACAACACAAAACCCAGAGAACATGGTGTCACCAAGGAAATGAGAAAGTCCTCATGTGTTCCCAACTCCCAGACTCTCCCGTCCAACCCGCTGCAGGGGAAGCGATACACCCAGTGTCTGACATACCTGCTCCGCAGAGCCCGGAGGGCCGGCGGCCGGTGTGCATCCAGTCCCGCTTCATTCTCTGCAATAGCCTGAGAGCTGTCATGGACACCTCGTGGTTCTTATCCCCAAACTCAAGCATGTGTGCAAAACGAGGAATATATAAACACGGATCTGCAACAGAAAGTAATACAATTATTTCTAATCCTAACCTTTGATTTAGAAAATGCAGCACTTGAGCAGCAGTACTGCAGGGCTGTTGTGGTTGGCTTACTTCACATCTCAGCAAACAATATGGACTGTGCTGCTGGACCAGATCCTCTGATCACTAAGCTTTAGAAGCACCTTTTTAGTTAAGCTAAAACAAAATCCTTTCTTGCTTTATAGACAAGAGACCTTTAAAGCACTGCACAAAGGTTTTCTTACATGCTTTTCAGGGGCCAAGCCTGCACATGCTGACTCCGACACGTGAGCAGTGTTACTGGTCTCAGTGAAATTATGGGCAAAGCTAAGCGTTTGCAAAAGCTTTTGCAGAATGAGGACATAACTTAGACCCAAAACTTCTAACATCTCCTGCAAAGTAACAAATAAGCTAACTTGCATGTCTCATCTCACACCTACCTACAAACTAAGCTTCGAAAAAAATTCATTTGCTTAAAATCCCATGTCTGTAACAAAAGTCTACTTACACCCTAAAGTTAATTCCAGCTCCTTCTCGGACTCATATTCCACCAATACAAAACGCTGTTTATTGCAGATACTGAGGCATACTCTCCATCACCATAAATTGCTACAATCCAATTAACATCAGCAGTGCTATGACAATTTACATCAGCCACAGATCTGCCTCCAGATGTATAAACTTATTTCAAGTGTTGGTGTTATCAGCTTCAAACTAACCGAAATATGTCAGTACGGATTGTGCTTTGCCTAAACCAATTTATAATTTATCAAACAATCTTGTAAAAGCTACACTTAACACATGTTTACTCTTATTTGAGGTATCAATTTCTCATTTCCTGCCAGGCTTTTATCACTTGACCGAAAATCCATGATGTACGGTAAATTGTTAACTATTAGTCTCAACTCAATTTCCTTTGCTGATCCCCTATGTGGGCACTTAAACTGATAAAGATGAAAATTCAGCTCGAAACACTGGAACAATCTTACAGATTTACAATTAATCAAAGCAGTCTCATTTAGCACCAAGTTCTAACAATGATGCCCTGTTGCTATCCATAATTACCAAGATCACACCGTAGGTGATTACGCCTGTCAGCCCTGCAGAAGCATGTAAATGAAAGCATTTATCAAGCAAAAACTTCCAAACACATCTCCCTCAAAAGTGAAGAAATGCCGGAGTGCAGTCACCTCTTAAACATGACCCTAAAAATCAAAGGTTTAGGAAAGATTAATTGATGCCCGTGATTCTTAAGGGGAATTCAGTTGTTCTGAATTTCCAAGTATGATTTTATAAAACTCTACTCAACAGAAATGACCAATTCCAAAATACAACAATAAAAAAAAAACCTTTCAGAAGTGACAGCCTGGGGTTCAACAGACATTTAAACTTTGCTCTTCGCCCTGCAGAAATACATGCGATGTTACAAATCAACGCCCGGTTTGCTTTCTCATCTCTTCTCATCCCGAGAGGGCCCACCTTCAGCTCCTCCGGCCGCCGGAGCGGAGCAGAGGGAGGCAATTCACAGCTTTCTTTTCAGAGCTGAGTTTCAGGAGCATTTACACATTTGCATTGTAGCTGTTCAGACATTTCTGCTGGCATTCATGCCCACAGGTCATTTGACAAAACATTGCACATCATTAATTTAAATTCTGAAGCTATCAAAGAGCCAGAAAATGAGTACGCGGATTGGTTTTAAGTGCAAAGCCTTAAAGAGGCCATAAATGGCTAGAATGCAATACTACCAATATATAAATTGAAGGCAGGGCCAAGGTTAACACAAACATGTCCCACATGGATGCAAACATTTCAAAAAAAAAAAAAAATTTTTTTTTTAAAAAGTTGTAAACCCCGAATGCCTTTAATCCTTTCACGTGTACGAAACAAGCACTGACGCACCAAGGGTGCCCTGCTCCCAGGCGAGTCCCCTTTGCCTTCAGGGAGACCCCTGGGACCGAAACCCGAGCGAGCAAGGTCACGCGGGGCAAAACCCTCCGGCTTTCCTGGATGGGGGCTGCATGAAGCAGATAGCAAGAAAAACATTATTTTACTTTTAAAAAAAGCAGCAGCAGTCTTTC